GCTCGCACCGTGACTCTGCGCGCAGCGCCCGCAGGCCGAGCCGGCCGACGCGGGGGCGGGGCTTCGGGAGGGGCGGGGCCTCGGGCAGGCGAACGGAACCGGGCGGGGGGCTGTTGGGACCCCGGGTCCAGGAACGGCGCTCTTTCACAGGCGCCCGGGCCCTCTCTGTCGCCGCCCGGGCCCGCCCCCGGTTCCATTTTACCGGCAGGGAGACTGAAGCCTGGAAGGGTGGGACCCCGAGGCTCCCAGAGGGGTGGGACCTGAGCCGGGCAGGTGGCCAGGTCAGCGCGATACCTGGACTGTCTGGGTAGGCCCTGCCTGGGGAGCGCTGGAGGGGTGGGATGGGGGCAGGAGGTGCTCCCACGCAGCCCGGGGAGCCACGGGCGACCAGATCCATCTGAGGCTGAGTTCCGAGGAGGGAATACGTCTCGGGAGCCGTCCTACGGGGGGCCGGATGGGTAGGGTGTGCGCAACAGTGACGCACTCTGTGGGGACAGGTAGAGCCCAGCCTCTCAGCCCGGGGCTCCGCGGTCATCTATCCGTTCCCACTTCCAGTTGGGCTGAGCTTTTCCTGGGCCCTCCTGCGCGTGTGACAAAGGACAAAGCCTGGGAGTCTGGGGGCTGGTGATTCTGGTTTCTGTGGCTTTCGGGGTAGTGGTTTTGGCCAGCAGTGACCCCGCGCAGACCTGAGGTATATCCAGGTCCTCTGCAGGCTCAGCGCCCCTCCCTCTGTACAGTCCCCCAGACTCATCCTCTGGCCTCGACCCGGTCCAGTCTGCAGGGACAGCCCTTTACAGAGCAGGTCTGAGCACGTCCTCTGCATGGAACGCTGCCCTGCAGGAAGGACTGCCTAGTGCTTAGCCTGAGTGCAGAGCCTTTCCTGCTTTCTGAGTCCAAGCGCCTCTTTAGTCCTTCTCCTTCAACAAGTATGCATGGAGCACCAGCTGTGTGCTGAGCCCTGGGCGGCGCCTGCCTGCCCGCCCGCCCAGCCCAGTGGGCAGTCAGCCCACAGCACCCCAGCACGGTCCGCCTGCTCCTGCTGTCCCCATGTGCTGTCCCGAAGCCCAGACCCCGTCTCCGCCTCGTGGCAGGGATGGGGCGCTGGGAGTAATCGAGGTGTGCGGCCCGCCTTCCCCCCTCGGAGCCCTGTCCTTGGGCCACTGGCTGCGGAGCCCTCACCACCTGCTTGTTCTGGGAGGCTCACGTGTCACAGCACTTCCTCTCGTGGAGCTGCTGCACCTGACCTGTCCTCACACTCTCTGGTGGCAGCTGCGGTGACCGTAGGGAGGTCACTGCAGGGGTAGGCGCTGCTGAACCGCACACGTGGGGGGGGGGAGCAGCAGAGGAAGAGGGTAGGATGGAGCTGGGTAGGGAGGGGGCCAGGCACGTGGACGAGGTCTAGGGGTATGCTAGTGCGGCTCTGTGTGTGTGTGTGTGTGTGTGTGTGTGTGTGTGTGTGTGTGTGTGTTCAGGTCCTTGGGTCTGGACCGACTTCTCCTGGCACTGTCGTCTCTGATACCCGGGCAGCCGAGTGTGGACAGATCACGTGCGAAGCTTCTGGGACGCATCCCTTGATGGCTGGAGGTCGGGCTCTTCGTCAGGGCTGGGGAGGGCTGCACAACTTGTCCCTGACCTTGGTGACATCCGGGGAGGGGGAGGGGGAGGTCTCACATCTTGGGGAGAGATACCCAGCTGTTCCAGGGACAAGGGACACCAGGCAGTAGGGGCCCCAGCTGCTTCTCCGTCCTTTGTTATCCCGCTTCCGTGTTCTCACCTCTGGGGGGCAGGGGCAGGGGCAGGGTCTGTCTGGGCAAGGCAGGCTTATCCTCTCCGCCCTTGACGCTTCATTTTCTATGTGTTATCCTGAGTTTGGAGCCCTGGTGGTGCAGTGCTTAAGAGCTCAGGTGCTAACCCAAAGGTTGGCAGTTCAAACCCACCCAGAGGTGCCTGGCGATCTGCTTCTAAAAGGTCACAGCCTGGAAAACCCTTTGAAGGAGTTCTCCGGCACACACATGGGGTCGCCATAGTGGGAACCGACTTGAAGGCGCAACAGTAACAGTGCACATTCTGTCCTGGTATTTCCGTTCCCGCTAGAATGCCAGCCTTGGAGGACAGGGGACATGTTCTGTCTCCCCAGCACCTGGGACGATCTGGCCTGTGCAGGTGCTCAGTTCATACCTGTGGAAGGGATGCCTGATGGGATTTGTACCACCCAGGACCCACCCTGTGATTCAGTACATAAACTGCCCGAGGACAGTGGCCCCAGGATATTGGAAGTCCAGCTGACAAAGTCTCCCCAAGGCCAGTCACACATCAGCAACAAGACTTGGACCTCCTTTGAATGGTGTGTCTAAGGGACTCCAGCCTTGCGTAGCCGAGCTGGGGAGGGTGCGTTTTCCGGTGACACAGGCTGTGGGTCATTCCTTGAGAACCTTGTCAGGAGAGGCCTGCCGCCCTGCCCTGGCCCCCCGCTTGCCATCTGCGGTCCACTTGGTGTGTCTCAGGAGGTGAGTGTTGTGATTCGAGTCGTGTGCTGGACTCAGAGGACCGGCCCTCAGGCCCCCAGCAGCCCCATGACCTGTGATGCAGGTCCACTTTTCCCGAGGGAGGCCTCATCCGCCAGGGCTCGGCATGCCTGGGGCAGTGGCCAGAGCGCATTCTTTGGGCCCAGAGTGACACAGGGGACTTTCATGACAGACTCGCCCAACCAAGGTGACCAGTCACACTCTTTCCTCTAACCTCCAAGCAGGAGCTCCACGTCTTACCACAAGAGCCCCGTTCAGAGGGCCCGGTGTGTCTCCACCTGTCCACGTGTCTGCGGTTGCTAGAGCCAGCGCCTCTGACCTGAGGGTGGTGCTTCCCTTCTGTCCTCCCCCACCCCCAGCCACTGCCGAGGGCCTGGGATGGTCTTCCTAGCCGTGACGCTGTGGCCTTTCCAAACAGACTCCAGAACCTGACTGGGGTTGCTGTGCCCCTGTCATCTGGGTGTTCCATTCCCTGGTGTCCCAAACGCCCAGGCTGGCACCTGTGGCCCTCGCACATCTGTGCTGGGAGTTCAGACCCTTGTTCCACCGAGAATGTTGTTGACGGCCGGCTCCCTGCAGGGGCCCCGCACCCTGGCCACCCCGGTGATCACACAGTCCAGCGAGATGCCAAACCTGAGGCCCACCTGTGTTGGGGAGGCAGGAATGAACTCGCCGTCTCTGGCCGCCCGGGCCTGGCGCACACTCCTGCCGGGGCAGATGTGAGGCATGCGTGAGTAGGGACTGTGGCTGCTGTGCCTCCCTGGTGCGTCACGTGGGGCAGTGGCCATCCGTGTGTGACTGGGGGGGTGGGGGGCAATGGCACTGTGCTTTAGTGTTCTGTGGCCACAAGGTGGGCACCGTGGGTCTTGACTCTGGACAGATGCTGCCTGGGGAACCT